ATGGGCCTCATATTGCGCTCCTGCAGCCTCTGCAGCCAGCTCAAACCCGGGCTGCTGCTCCTGGGGCTATTGCTCCTATCAGCTGTGGTCAAAGTCGCCAGAGGTGGTGAGAGCAGAAGCAAAGAGGGGAGGGACTGACCCATGGGAGCAGCAGGATTGAATCCAGGAACCCCCGGAGTGCTGAGGCAGTGTCCTTAAAGTTAAGGGTTCCAGCTCTATTGTCCTGGGCTTGCAAAGTGTGCGGGCACTGTGCCAAGCTCTGCACAAGCGCACTGCCACTGTGAATATACCTTCCCTCTGGAAATGCAATTCATGGCTAAGGAAATGAAGGACAAGGGCAGGGGTGGGGGTGGGGCAGGGAGATTGGCAAGGTGCCTCTGGCCACTCCTGAAATCCTCCTCCCTCCCCTACTCCTGGCTCCTCACCCTTTCTGTCACCCTCAGAGGACCCTGAAGAAGATAGGGAGTTTCAGTGCATGTGTGCAAAGACCAGGTACAAAGTCAATGCCAAGGACATCACCAACCTGGAGATGATCAAGCCAGGACCCCACTGTGCCACCGCCCAGATGATGTGAGTTCTGGCCCTGTACAGTTGGTGCTGCCCTTTGTCCCTCTGTCCCTCTGTCTGATCTTGTTTTGGAATCCAGGCACCAAAAGGTGCATCTCTTCTCTTTTTCCTGCAGAGCTACACTGAAGAATGGGAGTAGAGTTTGCCTTGCAGGGCAAGTCTCCTTCTTTAAGGCATTAATTGGAAAACTCATGAAGAGGTAGTTTCTACCTGGCTAAATGTGTACTTTGCTATATAACAAGTTTGGGTGTTACACCCACCACACACATACACACACATTCGCTCTAACTAAAAAAGCATCTTCTAATGCTTATATTATCCTTCAAATCTTAAATAAATAAATAATATGAATCGAGGTGTGATTTCGTCAAAATATTGCTTCATAATAGAGCAGAAAATAGTGATGTCATATCATTTTTTTCTTACAAGAAAACACCTCCAGAATTTTAAGAAAAAAAATTATTTGAAGAAGGGTTTGTTTTATAAGGAATAAATTTGCTTGGTGCTACATGTTGGCTGATAGATATTTGCATGTATAGGTGACTGTATTATTTCATAAATGCATATTTCCTGCATTTCTTAGTTTTGTTAACAATAGCATTTAATCATTACTAGTTTCCTAGGCTTTTTTTTAATTAACTAAATAAGTCAGACCCTGATTTTATCCCTTTAAGACTTAGACTCTACTACATTATTATTAGAAAATTAATAAAAATACAATTTGAAAAGAATAGTTAATGTTACTCTATTAATACTTTGAGAAACTGCATTAAAATAGCTTAATCTTTATAAGTTTTTTGAAAATGTTGATATTCTACAAAAATGAAAATTAAAAACAGTTTTTGTATTCATATTGCTGCCTACAATGGATCCCTATTTTGCAAACCTACCAGTTTTGTTCTTATTATATTTATATGTTAGTATTCCTCTAAGCATGCAGATGTCTTGAATAGAAATTTTTTTCCCTGGGCATTTTCAGGTTGAGGAGTTGCCTTATTTGCAGTTCAGTATTCTCCCTTGCATTCCCTAACATTAAAGGTGTTAATATTACATGTTCAACAGCCATGGAAACCAGGAGCAGTGCAAGCTGATGTTTTCATTCACATTTTGGGAAGATGTTACTACACTTTGGGGAGAAAAGAAGATGTTGCAACATGGGTATATTAGTTAACTATTGCTTGTGTAACAAATTCTCACAAACTCAGTGACTTACACAACACAAATTTATTTCTCACAGTCCTGAAGATCACAAATTCAAAATAAGTCTTAATGGGCTGAACTCAACATGTCCTC